TTAAGGTAATGCAGGATCTATCCCATCAGCAGTATGACTTTGACTTAGGGTTTAGGTTTTGGGTTCTTCAGATTTCAAGTCTAGCAATGGTGACCACTTCAGACCAACAAACAAGCCTGACATAAAGCCCTGCACCCTGCAGCCCTTAAGCCCCAAACCCTAAGCCCTGAACCCTGAAACCTAAACCCTAAACTCTGAACCACAAACCCTAAATCCGAAACCCTGAACGATGAACCGGAGACCCTCAACCCTGAACCCTGAAACCCCAAAGCCCCCCCATCTCTAAAACCCTGGACCACGACTATAGAACTCTTCTAGAGCCATAAATAATACATGCGCCCAACAGGAAGGAAGCCTGTAAAGGACCCCCCAACACCGAAGGAGGAGGGTAAGGGCTAAGGGCTTAAGGGTTTTGGGTTTATAGGCTTTAGAGTTTTAGGGTTCAGGGTTTAGGGTTTTAGGGTTTAGGGAGGAGCCTGGCATCTCGATCCAGGCAAACTTGCCACCCTTTCCACCGCAGTCAACGATGTAGGAACCCGCCTCAAGGGCTTCTTTTTCAAGGGTTCCGTTTACATGGGAGACCTGAGGGGCTACTATAACTTGGGGGCTGAGTGCCCCAGCCCAAAAAAGGTTAACCTTTTGAATTATAGTAGGACTATAAGAGCCCAAAAAGGTTAAAGGTCACCTACTCGGCCACTAAGATAATAAGGGGTCTAGCATAGGAACATTCTGAGCCGACTTGGACTAGGGTTTGGGGTTGGGTTCTGGCAGCTTTGTAGTTAGGAAGACTAACCTAAACCCTGAACCCTAAACCCCTAAACCAACCTAACCCTAAACCCTAAACCCTAAACCCCTAAACCCCTAAACCCTGAACCAACCTAACCCTAAACCCTAAACCCTAAACCTGAGACCTAAACCAACCGAACAGGCTTTCATACTCGAGTCACGTTAAGGTCCAGGGCCCTGGGTCAAGGGTCGGAGCTTTCGCCTCATGCGAGGAACCCAGGGCTTAGGATTTTGGGGTTTAGGGTTTAGGGTTTCGGGTTTTAGGGTGTTGGGACTTAGGGTTTAGGGTTTGGGGGTTTAGGGTTTAGGGTTCCAGAGACTCCAATGTCCCCTAATTAAGGAATATACCTTAAATCTTAGGAGGGTTCCTAGTATAATTTAAGGTATTTGCCTTAATTAAGGGTTTTGGAGTCTCTGGGTAATATAAGGGCCAAAATAGAGTAGGGCTTTGGGGTCCTTTGTAGTAGAATTATGACAAGGAGCCCCCCAAACTAATATTAGGTAAAAATATATGGGCGCCAGAATAATAGACTAGGGTTTGGGGGTCCTTTGTAGTAGAATTATCATAAGGAGCGCGCCCAAAATAATATAGGTACTTATTATTGAGGCCCCTATATTACCTATACTATGATAAGGAGCCCCCAAAATAATATAGGTAGTAATTACCTAAACCCTAAACCCTAAACCCTAAACCATTAATCGAGGCCCCTATATTACCTGTAACGGTTGAGAGTTTAGGCTTTTAGGGCCTGGCTGCAAGCTGCCTGCCAGTCTAAGTAGGGCCAGAGGGTTCATGCTTCGGGCTTTGAGGCTTCGGGTTTAGGAGTTTAGGGTTTAGAGTCTAGTGTTGAGGGTGAAGGGTTTAGGGTTCAAGGTTTGGGGTGGGCTTTCCGGGCTTAGGGCCCATCGGGTGATGATTTCGAGCTACGTATGCAAGTTAGGCTCGCTATTAATATCGATTTTTGAGGGTGCAGGGGACCTACAAAAGGGACACGAATTAGAGAACTACCCAAATCGAACCCTTATTATCATACCCTTATAGAAACCCCTGTAGAAGCCCTTAGAGATCCCTTTTTAAGGAGCCTTGAAAGGGACCGAATGTAGAGAACTACCCATATTGTGCACTTGGCCCAGAAGGGAAGTTGGGACTTGTGCCATGGCCCCAGACATGCGGCGTTTAGGAATCTATAGTTACACCTGCATTACCATAATTCCCATAGTTTAGAGTCCTTAGGTTTAAGGGTTAGGGCTTAGGGTTTAGGGTTTAGGGTTCAGGGTTTAGGGTTTAGGGTTCAGGGTTTAGGGTTTAGGGTTTAGGGAATGCAGGATCTTTATCATCAACAGTACTTGAAAGTTCATGGGACTTGCAGTAGTAACTGGGGCCTGGTTACCTGTACCCCCCCACTTAAGGTACTTATATCCAAATATTCGCACGTCAAAGCCACGTTTGGCCTCATGTTGAATTCCTCGGTGCTTATACCAACACCCGCTTAGCCAATTCCAGAACCCGAAACCCTCAACCCTAA